CAGACTGCCCAAAACTCTCACTTGACCACTTCAGGACACCCTTCACCACTTCAGGATGCAGCCTGCCTAAACAAGTGGTTTTCAGGGTCTTCGGATCTTTCACCACTTCAGCACCATTCAGGATTTTCAGACTGCCCAAAACTCTCACTTCAGAATTTTCATTCCTGAATTTTCAGCTACCCGATAACCGTTTGTGGTTTCTTTTTATTTTAATACTTGTTTTTTTCGTTTTCTATTTTTTTTAAATCAACAAAAACATCAAAAAAAAAAAAGGGATATAGAGATTTTCAAACCCTACAACCCCATCCTAGGAATTAAAAATGTTGGGGGTTTGCGGCCGCATTCGGGGCCCGCGGTTGGTTCCCACGATCATGATCCTGACCACATGAGGTCAGCGGTCCCGTGGTCATGACCGCAGGTGATACATAGTCGGCAACATACTAATGCCCTTGGGTGTGACGAAATGACCCAAGTACTCCAACTCTTGGCTTTGTACTTGGCGCGACAAAGCGTCTCCAACACACGTCGAAGATGCTCGAGATAATCCTCCAAGGTCCGGTTGTAGACGAGAATGTCGTCCAAGTAGACCAGCATAAACTAGTCCAACATCACGTGGAAATCGTTGGTCATCGCCGTTTGAAAAGTCGTTGGGGCATTGGTGAGGCCGAACAACATGACGGTCCACTCAAAACGCCTGTACCGCGCTTAAACGCGGATTTGTAGCACCATGACAGTCCACTCAAAATTTGATGATAGCCCGACTTGAAGTCCAATTTCGAAAAATACTTTGCGTCGCCCAAGCACTCAAGAAGATCGTCAATAAAAGGAAGAGGCCCCGCATTCTTGACGGTTTGGGCGTTAAGCTTGTGATAGTCAATGCACAAGCGAAGGTCCTTGTTCTTCTTCCGTACGAAGAGAACCGGCGCACCATATAGTGAGCTACTAGGGCGAATCCAACCCTTGTCCAACAAGTCATCAAGTTGCACACGGAGAACCGTGAGCTCTTCCTTTCTCATGTGATAGATGCAACCTTTCGGCGGCACGACACCAGTGTCAAGGATGATCTCATGGGGGATCGACCGATCCGATACCACGCCGGTGTGAGACTCAAATGTGTTTGCGAACTCGTCAAGCAACTGCACCACATGGGGGTCCGAAGACAAGTCTGTAAGTGAAGATTTGGTCTCCGCGACGGTTTCAAAGAAAACAAAGGCCTATCTCGTCGGTCCGCTGGTAAGCGCAAGTGGGTCGAAAAGACTTGGTTGTCACAACTTGGCACCAGATTAGAGGGTGCGAAAGAGGAATAGTGCATGGGACTTCGACGCCGAAAGTGTTGCGAGACGCGAACGGTAAGTGTCAACGATGGAAGTTAACCGTGTAGTCCCTACTTGCGAGCCAAGGCATCCCTAAAATGGTGCTGAAGTTCGTGTCTAAGACGTCAAACATGACTGGTTTACATGCATTTGGTGCGAAATAAACTGGCATGACCTCGATGTAGTGATCAAGAAGTTGTTGCGTACGATCACCGCCATCTTGACTGCCGTATAATGTGGCTTTCTTCGAACTTGTCGGCTCTTTGTATAAAGGACAGACTCATGAAATTGCGATTCGTGTCGCTATCTAGCAAAGCGTTGCAGGGCGCTTGTCCAACTTGGATGCCGACATAAAGAAGCGGGGCATTGTTGTCGGCGTACTGCTGCGTGCGAAACTCACGGGCCACCTTGGTGATATACGCAAGGAGGTCCGCCCCCCACGACTTCGTCATCCGTCGACGAAGTTGGTGGTGCGTTGA